CAACACAAAATCGAAATCATGACAATATCATCAAAACTCCATGGGCAGATTCAACACAAATACATTGCAGAAAATGATGATAACGAAACTCGATTCTTACCAAACCAATAATAGAACAACAACGACAGAGGCTTGCAGTGATGAACTAGATTCAGACGGTTGTGGTTGGAGGTGTGTTCGCCGGATGCTTGAACAAATGGAGGTTGTTGAAGTGTCTCACGGTGGTTCAGCGGACAGTGATGGTGTTGAACTGAGGCAGACATACGAACACGAACATGATGAAGGCGGAGTGAAGGGTGTTGGACAGGAAGCAGACATGTGTGGCTCGCGGTGAATGAGGGAGCAGATGGTGGCTGGAATTGAGACGACAGATGGGGTTGTTCGAAATCGAACGACATCAGAGATGAAAGATCGATGGAAGGTGACACACAATTTGAGTTGGATGGTGAAGAACAATAACAAGCGCTATCTGAAACGAGAAAAGGAAGACTAGGGTTTTAGTAAAAAGTCTATTGTGGTGGCCGATGTAAAAAGCCTATAACCCAATGTAAAGTCCAACTTTTTTTTATAACAAAATTTCATCTTATTTACAAAATTATCACCGTTTTTTTTTATCACTAGACTTTTCACACTGGGGAGAAATAAAGGCCCTATGTAAACTCTTTTATAAAAAAATTTCTTTTTATTTACCAAACTGCCACCGTGTTATATTTTTCTCTAAATTACATATTTTTCATATTATAGAAAATAAAAGTCTGATTTAAAATCTTTTGAGAAATATTTTTTACATCATATATTTTTATATCTGATATAAATACTTTTTTTCATATTTTTATATCTGATATAAATACTTTTTCTCAAATATCATATTATCATATTTTTATTAGTGTGGATGGAGAGCAAAGTTAAAAGGAAAATATGGAATACTGTTTAATAATAGTGTTCAATCCTGTATAGTATTGTGAAGAGAAAAACATCCCAATTAAATACATGGCGGTTATCGAGCAAGGAGAAACGCGTCGGAGATTTAAGTGGAGCAGAGAGCTTTCGCAAGAGCGAAAATTCGGACGTCTCTGCAGTAGCGTTAAAGTCGCTCATGTTCTATTATTGCAGTAGCATAGGTGGCTGCTAGGTGCTTTTAATTGTGTATTCATGTTTTTAGTGTAGTTAAATCAGGAATGGTGTAGTAGAAGTTCTGTTTTGGTGTAGCAGTAATCTGGTTACTGTGATGTAATGCTTGCTTAGGCTGTAGCATTTCTTATGCTAGAGCTCTTAATAATATCCACTTTTTGCTGCTTCAAAAAAAAAAATTCCGTATTTCTGACACTCATTGTATTGTTCCCGATGTCTATTCGTCTTAATGATTAAGCATTTTCATTAAATAAAGAAAAAAAAGACAAATGAAGTATGAAATACTGACACGCGTGTGCGTATCACGGGTAAAGCACGAAACATGTATATCCAAAAAAACAAAGTGTTATGTATGACGTGGTAGTGAGTAGTCTTTCACATGGACTTTCCCACGTAACATTTCCCCTGAATTTCAATTGGATCATATTTTTGTCCACTACCAAATTTCCTAACCAAAATAACAATCTGAGTAACCATTCAATTTCAACAATATAATAATTACAAAATATCCATTACGTTCCAACTCTGTGAATCTATCTATAGTTTCATTTTGTTTGTTCACTTTCGCATATGCACCATGATGAAGAAATCCACCACCATTCTCACCCACTTCAAATCTCGCATCACTCATCTTCTCGCCGATCGCCGGAAACCCCATCTCACCAACTCCCATCCACGTCGCTTTAACTGCACCACTGCCAATAACCCTTCCATTCACGACCAGGTTATAGATTTTCCTGGAGGAAATGTCAAGTTCATCCCTCACATGAGATTCTTATCTGAATCAACTGAAAACAGAGTCCCTTGCTACCGTGTTCTTAATAACAATGGGGACCAAATTTCAGGGACTCAGTCTGTCCAGGTTTTTTTTCACTAACTTCACGTTCATTTTCATTGATTTTGCCTCTACTGTGTAAAAATAAAGAAAATTAATAAGCATTGGTATTAGGTTAGTGAGGATGTTGCGGTTAAAATGTATAATGACATGGTTGCACTACAAACTATGGACACTATCTTCTATGAAGCGCAACGACAAGGAAGAATCTCATTTTATTTAACAACAAGCGGGGAAGAGGCTATCAACATTGCATCTGCTGCAGCTCTTTCCATGGATGATGTTATTTTCCCTCAGGTTACTTATCATCTACTAAACACGAACACCAGAAACACGACGCACTTTGAGACACTTTTTGCTTTTAATTTGTTATATTTTTGGTAAAGAGATAACTATGTTTTTTAAGACATGAAATGATCTTACAGAAAATAGGATTGATTGCGTGCAGTATAGGGAACAGGGAGTGTTGTTATGGCGTGGTTTCACTCTGCAAGAATTTGCAAATCAATGCTTTTCCAATAAATTTGATAATGGGAAAGGAAGGCAGATGCCGATTCATTATGGGTCTAACAAGCACAACTATGTGACTGTATCATCAACCATTGCGTAAGTAGTGGAATTTTTTATCTATGTACGATAATTACTACTATTAGTATTGTTGTTGCTATTTTTCCTAATGATTATAAAAGTTACAAAATGAATGATTTACTTTGATCTGTAGTACGCAAATTCCCCATGCTGTTGGAGCTGCATATTCCTTAAAGATGGACAAAAAGGATGCATGTGCTGTAACTTACTTTGGAGATGGCGGTTCAAGTGAGGTAAATTGTACAATTTCCCCTATTTATGAAAGGAGACGTGCGATTTAAACACGGCATGGATATGTGATAAAATGGTTTTGTTTTCATCAGCAATCATTATTAAGGATCCTCAATATGTTAAGATTCTCTTCTTTTGTTTTTTATATCGTAATAGATTGAGTTATGAGCAATGACAGGGAGATTTCCATGCCGGATTAAATTTTGCAGCGGTAATGGAGGCCCCGGTCATTTTTATATGCCGGAATAATGGATGGGCTATCAGTACTCCTACATCAGATCAGTTTCGAAGTAACGTTCTGTTCTTTCTGTTTCAATTTCTTCTAACTGTCTAGGTCTTTAGCATTGTGTTGCAATGTCTAATGGCATATTGTGCTGGTTTTTGTGTTTATAAATAGGTGATGGTATTGTTGTAAAAGGACAAGCTTATGGAGTTCGTAGTATTCGTGTAGATGGGAATGATGCTCTGGCCATTTACAGTGCTGTTCAAGCTGCTCGTCAAATGGCAGTTAGCGAAAAGAGACCAATTTTAATAGAAGTAAAATGATAATAACCTTTGAAGCCAACTGTGGTCTCCTATTGAAGCATGTTTACGGCAGACCAATGTTGTATATGTTTCTTCTGTTTTTTCAGGCTCTTACCTATAGAGCAGGACACCACTCCACATCAGATGACTCTACCAAGTATCGTCCGGCCAAAGAGATTGATTGGTGGAAATCAACGCGTGATCCTGTGGCAAGATTTAGAAACTGGATAGAAAGGAATGGCTGGTGGAATGACATTGCTGAGTCTGAGCTTCGAAACAGTTTGAGACAGCAGGTAAACTATAGTCATGACTTGAATTTGATTAAGACAGATCCCTAAAAACATTGTTACATAGTTATTCTAACTCACAAGTTTCCTGCTACAGCTTCTACAGACGATTCATGTTGCTGAGAGTGTAGAAAAACCTCCCCTTGCAGACTTGTTTAACGATGTTTACGATGTTCCTCCATCCAATCTCTGCCAACAGGAGAAATGGCTGAAGGAGACTGTAAAAAAACATCCACATGAGTATCCAACAAATATTCCCATGTAGTTTTAATTTTAACTCTTAACCACAACATCTAGTTTGAAGATACTATAAAATCATCTTCAAACTTGAATTTTCTGTGCATTATGAATATTGGAGAATAATGAGGTGTGACATCCTCAAATAAATCATTAGTTATGAATATTTTTGGCACCACCTTAAGTTATCTTTTATGTTTTCACAAAAATACATAGTATTTTATTCAAAATATAATAAATATTAGTGAAAAAATACACATGACATCATTAACTGGTATTCAAAATAAGTTTTTTGCATTTAAGGTTTTCAAATTTAATAGAGTAACATAAAAAATGTAGTGTTTTTATCTGACTTAATTCAAACTTCTCTTCTCCTTAAAAGAAGTTGATCCAAACAAGATTTAAGAATACCTCTTAACAAACAAAAGGAGCTTTTATTTTTAAAAAGAAAAAAACAAATAAAAGGAACTTCTAAAAAAGGTGTTGGGAGGAACTTCAGATTTATTTATTTTTTTGCAAATAACTTTACCAAGGTATTCAATATAATAGTTTATAAATTTTTATTTGTTAAAAACATTATGTATTTTAGTTAGCCAATTGATTTTAAACAATTCAATTTTTTATTTTTAATATGAGATTAAGAAATAATATATTGCTGATTTGTGATTGATTTGCAAAAGCTGCAAATATCATGGTTCTTCAGAAGAATCTAAACTGAATCAATTTTGTAAACTGATACCATTTTGATTTGTTAAGAGATTTGATTAAATTTTGATACACATGTTTATTCTTGATCTAATAATCACTCACATTATATATATCAAATCATAAGATTTCTTAAAATAGATTCCACAACATTGACCATAGATTTTAACTACAATTTCCACTTAGAGTGGAAAACCACCAAAACAAAACCAACCCTTTTTTCCTTTCTCTCTAACTTCCTCTATTTTCTAATTTTCATCAAACAAAGCAAAAATAATTATTATCCTTCTTGTTAAACCATTTTTTTCTACAAAGTTCAATAACAAATTATATATATTTTATTATATGCTGTTAGTGCATTGGTAAAGCAAGTTTGACAGATGACAAAACCCTCTATTAGGATTGCATATAACAGAATGTAAAAGTTGTTATAGATCAATAGAGGATTAACAAGGAAAAAAATGGGAGATAAAGGAAACAAAACAGATGCATATATAGTGTGTTATGCACCAACCATGATTACAACAAATGGAATATGGCAAGGAGATAACCCTTTGGATTATTCTCTTCCACTTTTCATCTTGCAATTAACTTTAGTTGTTGCAGCCACTCGCATGTTCGTCTTTATTCTCAAGCCCTTTCGCCAGCCACGTGTCATAGCTGAAATTCTGGTTAGTTCTTTTCTTTTCAAACACGAAAATGCCCTTTGTGTTGCATTGCATTGCTGATAGGTGTGACGTTTTCCTCGGTGCAGGGAGGAGTAATATTAGGTCCTTCGGTGCTTGGAAAAAATGAACTATTTGCCAATGCAATTTTCCCTCTAAGAAGTGTGATGGTCATTGAAACAATGGCGAACGTTGGATTACTTTATTTCCTCTTCTTGGTTGGTGTGGAGATGGATGTGACTATTTTGCGCAGCGTAGGGAGAAAGGCGGTCTTTGCAGCAATTTCTGGCATGGTTTTGCCTTTCATCATTGGTGCTTCTTTTTCCTTCTTTTCGAATAAGCACACTCACGATAACATAAACCAAGGAACTTATATTCTGTTCCTCGGCGTCGCTCTATCTGTCACTGCTTTTCCTGTCTTAGCTCGAATCCTGGCCGAGCTAAAACTTATTAACACGGATTTAGGAAGGCTCGCTCTTTCGTCTGCACTCATTAACGACGTGTGCGCTTGGATTCTCTTGGCTTTAGCAATTGCATTGGCTGAAAATGAAACAAGTTCTTTTGCTTCCCTTTGGGTTTTATTGTCGGGCGCAGCATTTGTGGCCTTTTGTATTTACGCCGTTCGACCAGCAGCCTCATGGGTAGTTAGGAAAACACCTGAAGGTGAATCATTCAGTGAATTCTATATATCTCTTATATTAGCCGGTGTCATGATCTCCGGTTTCATCACCGATGCTATTGGAACACATTCTGTTTTCGGAGCTTTCGTGTTTGGTTTGGCGATTCCGAGTGGACCACTTGGTGTTACTCTTGTGGAAAAGCTTGAGGATTTTGTTTCCGGACTTTTGCTCCCTCTATTTTTCGCAATCAGCGGGTTAAAAACCGATTTAGGACTCCTTCAAGGGTCTTGGACTTGGAGTATTCTTATTATTGTCATTTTTCTTGCTTGCATCGGCAAAGTTGTGGGAACTCTAGCTGTTGCATTCTTTTATCAAATGCCGATCCGCGAAGGCGCTACCCTCGGATTACTCATGAACACAAAAGGCCTTATTGAACTGATTGTTCTCAATGTTGGAAAAGACCAAAAGGTGTTAATACTATAATAGTATTTTCATTGTTTTGCTTCTTCCTCTCAATGAATCACTCATTTTAACTACTTAAAACTTTATGCAGATTTTCGATGAAGCATCATTTGCCGTAATGGTGGTTATAACCGTAATAATGACCGGAATAGTTGTACCTGCTGTATCGATAATTTATAGACCACCAAGGGGAAACATACATTACAAAAGAAGATCAATTCAGATATCAAAACCAGATGCAGAATTTAGAATACTAGTTTGTGTCCATAGTCCTCGAAATGTGCCAACGATGATCAACCTCCTTGAAGCCTCGAATCCAACAAAGAAGTCGCCAATATGCCTCTACATGCTTCATTTGGTCGAACTCAGCGGCCGTACATCAGCAATGCTTATTGCCCACAACACAACAAAACCAGAACAGGTAGCACTTAACCGAACGGAAGCTCAATCCGATCACATAATCACCGCCTTTAAAAACTACCAACAAAACTCATCATTCGTCTCTGTCCTGCCTTTAACAGCAGTTTCCCCTTACTCAACAATGCATGAGGATATATGCAATTTAGCACAAGAAAAACGTGTATCGCTAATAATCATTCCGTTTCATAAACAACTAACAGTTGACGGTGGAATGGAACCAACAAACATGTCGTTTCGTACAATCAACCAAAACGTACTAACAAATGCACCTTGCTCGGTCGGAATTCTAGTCGACAGAGGCTTAAACGGTTTAAACCATCTAGACTCAAATCAAGTATCACATCATGTAGCAGTAATGTTTATCGGTGGACCGGACGACAGAGAAGCCTTATGCTATGGATGGAGAATGTTCGAACACACCAGCATAAGCCTAACCATAATGCGGTTTGTCCCGGGCGAAAAACTAAACGAACCGCTTCGTCAACACCAAATCAATCCAGACGAACCAAGCGTGTTAACAGTTGAAACGGATAACGATATAGAAAAACGAATCGATGAGAAACTAATACACGACTTTAGAATGAGGTACACGGGCGATGATTCATTTAACTACTTTGAGAAAGTAGTTAACAATGGAGAGGAAACAGTAGCAGCAATAAGAACAATGCATGATATACATGATCTATTTATAGTTGGAAGAGGTCAAGGAATGATATCACCATTGACAGCAGGGTTAACTGATTGGAGTGAGTGTCCTGAGATGGGTGCAATAGGTGATCTATTAGCTTCATCAGATTTTGCAGAAACTGCTTCAGTTTTGGTAGTGCAACAATATGTTGGAATAGGATCAAATTTTGATGGATTAGATACACCAGTTGATAGTGAAGAATATAATAATAGTGTTGACATAAATCATCAATCTGGAACATCAAGAGCACATACTGTTTTTAATACAGAAAGAATAACTCCGCATAATTTATAGTTAAATTATGGAAAATTTTGTATTATAACTTCTCATGTGCTTATTTTTCTTTCAAAGTTTGATGGGTTGTTGTAAGAAATGTACATAGAACTTCATACATTTATGTGACTACAGTTTTTTTTAATTCATGTATGGTTGGTTACTTTTTGTCTATCAACACTTCATATTAAGTGTCTCATATTACTCCATTCCAACAACATTTTAGTCTGGGTTTAGCACAATTCTGCTAATTCCTAGGGATTTTATTTTAAAAAACTACTCTGACAAAATTACTTATTGAATCGCGTATTAGGTCACTTTTCTTAAGACTTTTTATAACATTGCTAAAAATTATACAAGTAGACTATCGATCACAAAATTTCTAAGATAAAACACTTGAGTCAAATTGTATCTGTGATGCGGTGGGAGAACTGACTTGAGGTTTTGTGTTTTATCGCAAATGTTGCGGTTAGCAAGAGTCGCCACCGACTTTTCTTTTATCCAAAAGGAAAGGTGAAAAAGTACATGAAAGACCTTTGAGATTGTTTCTTGAGTTCGGGGGGTAGATTATGAAAAGGGAAGGTATTAACACCCTTTTCATCCATGGTTTTCCATGGGCTCTTAGTTACTTGCTTAGATCACTTGCTTTTGTTTGTTTGAAATTGTGTTTGGTGAGATTTTGAAAGTATTTTGTAAAAGAGACCATTCGTTTAGGCAATCTTTGTAATGATTTTCGTTCGTAAGAATGTATACAAAAATGTTTTTCTTTTGAAAATGTTTTCAATGTTTGTAAGATGTTTTTGAAATGTCTGTGTGTTGAAAAATAGTAAGGATTGTTGTTTGAAAATGGAGCAAGTAACTAGAAGTAATCTACCTACTCAAATATCTTTCTTGTTCATTTTTTATTCCTTTGACATTGTTGTCTTACCATTAATTTGGTAAGAAACCCTATCTTTGGATGTAAACGGGACGGACGTAGGTCATCGTATAACCATGATTAGCAATGTTGCGAAGTATCTTAGCACTTTGAGGGACCAAGATCATTTTGTAAGGCAACTTTTGAATAGCGTCATCGAGGGACTATGATCTTATATTTGTTTTGTTTTGCCAAGATACTTCGCATGCGTAACATGGCCATTTTTGTTTTAGGCAGCCAAGTGGGGAAACCCTAAGGGTGCTTGTGTGCAAGTGTATCATTTTCATGCTTTTGATTTTTGTCTTGTATTTAGGGTTTTCTACTTGCTTTGTTTTGTTCTTGTCATACAAACCATAATTACTAATCATGGCATATGAAAGCGATAAATTGCGTAATGTAAATATTTCTAAGCTATTATAACAATTTATGGGAGGGGGGAATACAAGTTTGAATGGGGATTTGCACAAATATAAAGCTAAATAAATTATTACAACCAAATCGAATTTGTACGAATTGGAATAAATATAATACAATATTTAAAATGCAATGCAATTGTTGGCTAAAGATTTTGATAATGATATTAGAAGCCAAGTGAATTAAACGTTTCGATCGAAATGAGGTAAAGCGTCATGTTTCGAAGTAGCAGAAGCAGTGTTTCGAATAAGTATGTCAAAGCTTGGAGCTTCGAGTGGCAATTATGGGAACATATCTAAAGAAGTCTCGAAATAACAACAAGGCTGTGTCTGGGAAGAGCGTTCGAAACGGAGAAGTACCAAAGCATTTGAAATTCAAATGGAAGCGGGACTTTCGAAGTTTGAAAGTTATGTGCTGGTGCATTTGGGGACACGTGGAAAGATTAAAGAGGCATTGTCCTGCATGTTCTGAACGTGGCATAATCCTATAGCAAGACCGTTATGGTCGAATTAGTATAAATAGAAGTCTTAGTATTAGGATTTCGTGTGTCATATCTATTATACAAAATACTCAGTAACATTCAAACTACCACATGGCAAGGGAAACGAATGCAAGAGAAATATACGTATGATAGCACCATGTATTTCTGATTTAATGAAAACCTTTTACCATTTCCAGCACTTTCCTTTATCTTTTTGTCAAATAACATTTACAAGTTTTCTCATTTACAGTCTTTTCACTTCGAAATCTCTTCTTCAAAGTTTTACATTTTAATGCTTTCTTCACATTTCAAGCACTTTATATTTCAGAAAACTGTCATATTTTCCATACCTTTACCTTCAAGTCTTATCCTTCGAACGCATATTTTTACTTAAAGTCATTTACAGATTTCTTGCATTAAACGCTTTCTTCATATTTCAAACCTTTTACGTTCCAGAAATCCTTTACGTTAACTGTTTTTTAATTCGAAACCATTTACTTGACTTTTATGCAATTTCACATGTCTTTACAATTAATATTTACTCATGCAATTTAGTTTCACACACACATTTTAATTACATCTTTAGACTTTTAGAGAGAGAAACCGAAATAAGCCAAACGCATATACAACATCAATCATGAATATCAGTTCGATCGTGAGAGTAACCTTAATATCCAAGGAGTCCTAGGATCAATCTAGTCGATCCTGTGAGTTACTAGAGGAATTGAATAACAGTAAGAAAGATTATTCGATAGTTTGGAAGACTAGCGGTTGTTTACCAGAAATCACTGGAAACAAATTGGCACACCCGGTGGGACCAATAATTGGATATTAGAAATAAAGATTGTTGAGACATAACCATTACAAAAACGTTGGAACCTAAGAAGTTTGCTGTTTTATGAACCTGAGAAGTGGTAAGATAACCAACAGCAACCAACCTTTATCCAGAAGAAAACGTTTGGACAAAATGTCTAATTCTGAAAATCAACAAGGGGACCAAAATGGCCCACATACAACAGGCACTAATGCGTCCACTTCGATCGGAACATCTAATGTAATCCCTTCGAACGCACAGTCTGTTGCATCTTCAACCAGTAACATAGCCACCAATGGTGTAAGTGGCATATCAACTAATAATTCGATCCTAGGAAATACTGGAACCATTGGCTACCCTGGGGGATTCGTTCCACCATCAGGGACACAATCCCATTTCGCCACTCCATTAACTAGACCACCCGGTTTCGATGGAAATAGAACCAGAAACTCCTGTTGGCTGAAGATTTTGATAATGTTATCTAGAATTCAAAAGAGTTAAAAGTTCTGATCGAAATGGAATTGAACACCATATTTCGAAGTTGCAGAAGCAGTGTTTCGAATGAGTGTGTCAAAGCTTGAAGCTTCGAACGGTGATCATGGGAAAATATCCAAAGGGGTCTCGAAACAACAGCGAGGCTAGGTTTGGGAAGAGCGTTCGAAACGGAGAAACACCAAAGCATTTAAAATTTAAATGGAAGCGGGACTTTCAAAGTTTGAAAGTTATGTGTTGGAACATTTGGGGACACGTGGAAAGATGAAAGAAGCATTGTCTTGCATGTTCGAAACGTGGCATGATCCTATAGCGAGACCGTTAGGGTCGAAATTAGTATAAATAGAAGTCTTAGTATTAGGATTTCAGTGTGTCATATCTGTTATACAAAATACTCAATAACATTCAAACTACCACATGGCAAGGGAAACGAATGCAAGAGAGATGTATGTATGATAGCACCATGTATTTCTAACTTAATGAAAGCCTTTTTACCATTTCCAGTACTTTCCTCTTTTCTTTTTATCGAATAACATTTACAAGTTTCTTTATTTATCGTCTTTTCATTTCAAAGTCTTTTCCTCAAAAGTTTTACTCTTTATTGCTTTCTTTATATTTCGAGCACTTTATATTTCAGAGAACTGTTACGCTTTCAATACCTTTACTTCCAAGTATTATTTTTCAAACGCATCCTTTTACTTAAAATTGCATTAAACGCTTTCTTTACATTTTAAACTTCTACATTCCAGAAACCTTTTATGTTAAATGTTTTGCAAATCGAAATCATTTACTTCATTTTTCATACAGTTTTATATGTCTCTTCAATCAGCATTACAATTAGCATTTATTCGTATAATTTAGTTTTCATGTACAATTTGACCACATTTTTAAACTCTTAGAGAGAAGGATCGAAATAAACCAAACACTTGTACAATAGCAACCATGAATAATTGTTCGATTGTGAGAGTAACTTTAATATCCAAGGAGTCCTAGGATCAATCTAGTCGATCCTGTGAGTTACCAGAGAGATTGAGTAGCGTTAATAAAGATTATTCGATAGTTTGGAAGACTAGCGGTTGTTTACCAGAAATCACTGGAAACAAATTGGCACACCTGGTGGGACCAATAGTTGGATATCAGAATTAAGGATTGTCGAGACATAGCCATCCCAAAAACGTAGGAACCATAAGAAATTTGCTGTTTTATGAACCTAAGAAGTGGTAAGATAACCAACAGCAACCAACCTTTATCCAGAAGAAAACGTTTGGACAAAATGTCTAATTCAGACAATCAACAAGGAAACCAAGGTGACCCACATGCAACAAGCACTAACGCGTCCATTTCGAGCGGAACATCTAATGTAATCCCTTCGAATGCACAGTCTGTTGCATCTTCAACCAGTAACATAGCCACCACTGGAGTAAGTGGCATATCAACTAACAGTTCGATCTTAGGAAATACTGGAACTATGGGCTACCCTGGGGGATTCGTTCCACCACCAGGAACACAATCCCATTTAGCCACACCATTAACTAGACCACCCGGCTTCGATGGGAACAGAATTAGAAGTTCTTCTTACGGAATGCCAACATCTTTTATGGCAGGTTTACACAATTCCACTTCGAATTCATCCCCACAACTAGGATCTGGGTCTGGGGCGAACCAATTTATGACAAATAACCAAGGGTCAGTGGGTTATAGCACGTTGCCTATCCTAACCACAGATAACCAGTTGGCTTTTAGGCAATTGATGGATGACAGCAACCACAATATGATAGGGGTGTTAGCGCAAACCATGCAGGAAATATTTGCCCCAATAGTTCAGAATGTGACTGTGACGAACAGGGAAAACGCTGACAATATGAGTCGAATAACAGATTTCTTTGCTCCCACAGAAAGGCGTA